AGTTTCTATACATGTAATAAATCCATGGATTGTCGGACAAGTTTCTATACATGTAATAAATTCATGGATGTCAGACAAGTTTCTATACATGTAATAAATCCATGGATTGTCGGACAAGTTTCTATACATGTAATAAATCCATGGATGTCAGACAAGTTTCTATACATGTAATAAATCCATGGATTGTCGGACAAGTTTCTACATGATGTAATGAATCCACTCCGGACCTCCGGAATTGTCCGACAAGTTTACATACATAATACATGTGTTTGTATTCCCCACGTTACCGGGACTGTGTGTTTCCCCGGCCACACCTTTGTCTTTCCCACAGTTCACGTTACACAGAAGAAATTGTTGTATTACTGTCACATTGTATGCCTGTGTCAAGTCTCTGTCTGTGGAGTTGTGGAATAAAAAGCTACATGGACTGGCACAAATCTCAACGTTTCTTTCCTTGGTTTATTTGGCTTGACAGTGTCTGCATGGACATAGATGGTCCTCTTCTAGTTTTTGTTTTAGTAAGGGTTTTTTTACGGCGCTCACAACTGCATAAGGTCATATGAGCGCCAAGGGGTGGATGTCAACAGAGAAGTCCTTACAGGGAATCAGGCTTACTCTGCTCACCTCTCTACCCTCAACAGCACAAAGTCTGCTTCGACTATCAAGGCACCCCGGAAATAGCGGGTCACAAGAGAGTGACAAACATACAAAAGAAGTAGAGGAAAATGACCATAGTAAGGATGTGGAAAGAAAAAGCAGCAGTTCCCCCCTATGTTGTTCCGGCACAGTATGAGCATGACATTGATGAATCAGCCCATTTACAATTCTACTGTGGAAAAGAACAAGGGAATATCCCCCCTTTGGGAATGGCCTAAAGACACTTCAGTCAGTAGTACTACCCCGGCGGGGCATGGGTCGTCTTCTTCCACACATCTGCTTCCTCCCCGTGAGGTGACAGAGGCCAGGCAAAGTACAAGTAGCGTAGAGTCAGACACCTGTGCCCACCTTGGAGTCAGAGTTTTATGGCACTTGCAACACAACTAGGTCATACATGCAGTGCCAAAGACCTGTAGTAGTAGAGGAGGTACAGGAGAGTGACTGACAAAGAAAAGAAGGAGAGATAGGACCTGTAGCAGTAGAGGAGGTACAGGAGAGTGACTGACAAAGAAAAGAAGGAGAGATAGGACCTGTAGCAGTAGAGGAGGTACAGGAGAGTGACTGACAAAGAAAAGAAGGAGAGA